AAGGGAGGACGCTTTATCACCTTACTGGTGGTCTTGGGTTACAGCTGCTTGCCTTCTTGCTCCTGAGGGCCGCGACGGTTTGCCCCTAGCCGGGGGCCAAGTGCAGCTCGCCCCGGGCAGAAGGCCACGACGGCTCGCCCCTGGCAGAGGGCCGAGGGCAGCCCACCCCGGACAGAGGGCCGCGACGGCTCGCCCCAGGCAGAGGGAATTTGATATCACTTCTAAGGAGGCTTGTGTTCTTTATTTTTTTGTGTGTATTCTTTCCTAAGGAGATTATAAAGGAAAGGTAGAATTTTACCTTGATCATTTTAAATTCAGAATAGAACCTGTATATTAGCATAAACCTGTAAGTATCTCAATCTAACATATGGAAGGGAAAACATTTTAGTTGAAATTCTTGGCTATATTTGACATTGCTGTAAAATGGACTTTAATTTGGAGGGAAAGAACTTTGCAGGCAAGGGTTTCTCATTGTACTCCAGCACTGAAATAGGGCCCAGCATGAGATTCTGTTTAGTAATTGTTTGTTGAATGATTAAAAGACTTGTTTAAAATACCGCTTCAACCTGTCATGATGTTAAGGTGAAATGTGGCATTCTCTTGATGGTATCAGCAGGACTGCCTTAAATGACCATCCATAAAGTGTTTTCATTGCTTATCACAGCCATTGAGAGCCTTAAAATTTTAACTGCACCTTATAGTTTTGTTGTTGTTGTGTACTGTCAAATCGGAACCGACCCATTGCTGGCCCATAACACATTTTCAGTGGTAATAAATCACATGAGATGAGATGGCTCGGATTACAGCAGTGGGTGTATTTCTATTATGGCATGTTTTGTTGTTGTTGTTATGTGCCGCTTAGTCACCTGATACCCATAGCGACCTTATATACAGCAGCTCTGAAGCCTGCCCTGTTCTGAGCCAGTCTCACTAATTCTAACACACCAGTCCTATTGCCCCATTAATGTGTAAATCCATCTCATCTGGGGTCTTCCCATCTTGGGCTGTCCCTCCACCCTTCCAAGCATGATATCCTTCTCCAAGGACTGGTCTCTCCTGGCCATGTGCCCAAAGTATGTGAGACAGAGCTTCAAAATCCTAGCCTCCAAGGAGAAACTTGTTTCACCCTCTCCAAGACAGACTTGTTTATTTTCTTGGTGGTCCACCTCAGCACCACAACTCAAAGGCATCGTTGATTGTTCTATCATCCTTAGTCATTGTCCTGCTTTCTGATCCATAGCAAGTAATTGCTAAGTCAATGGCTTGGATTTCAAATAGTTTTTGAGAGTATTTTGTTCTTGAAGAACTAGAATATTGAAAGTTTACAAAGTTTTCTTGCGTTGGTTTGGGAAGTAGAGAAGCAGAGAAAAACATTAAAGGAAAGTCCCCGTAGCTTTTAATTAGAGCCTATCTTTGGGAAGAAATGTATTGTCCACGTGACTGTTGTTATTAGGTACCACTGAGTTGCCTCTGACTCAGGACTTCAGATCGAAACCCTGCCCGATCCTGTGCCAGCCTCACAGTTGCCACTGTGCTTAAGCCCGTTGTTGTAGTCTCTGTGCCAATTTGTCTCCTTGAGGGTTTTAATCTCTTTTGATGACCTTCTACTCTTTCAGGCTTGATGTCCTATTCCAATGACTGTTTCCCCTGATAACATGTAACATGTCCAAAGTCTGTGAGTTGCAGTCTCACCATCCTTGCCTCTAAGGAGCATCCTGGCTGTAGTATTTGTCTATTCTTTAGCAATCCATGATCTATCCTGTAGTCTTCACCAATACCACAGTCCAGAGACATTGTGTCGTCTTTAGTCTTCCTTATTCATTGTCCGGCTTCCACATGGATATGAAGACACTGAAAATACCCTGTCTTAGATCAGGCACACTTTAGTGTTTAAAGTGATAACTTTGCTCTTTAGCACTTTAAAGAGAACCTTGGCAGATTTCATGCAATATGTCTTTTTATTTCTTGACTGTTGCTATGCTGAGTGTTGATTTTGGATCAAAGTAAAATGATATCATTGACAGCATCAATTTTTTTTCTCTATTAATCATGATGTTGCCCATTGGTCCAGTAGTGAGGGTTTTTACTTTTTTGATGTTGATAAGCCATATTGAAGGCTGTAGGTTTTGATCTTCTGTAGCCAGGTTGTGTTATCTACATAATGCAAGTTCTTGATGAATCTTTTTCTAATAATGATGCCTCATTCTCCTTTACACAGTCTAGCTTCTTGAACTATTTACTCAGCATGTATTTGTTGCTGTTGTTAAGTGCTGTCAAGTTGAGCATGCCTCATAGTGACTTGATAGAACCCTGTTCTATAACTCGCATTCTTTCTCTAAGTCCACAGCATTTCCAGAGGCATGTTGCTTAGAAAGTAGATACCACTCTTGCTTCCAATCTTGTCTCAATCTGGGAGCTCCAGCCAACACTGTTCATCTTGGGTAACCTTTATGGCATTTGACACACCAGTGGCATAGTATTCAGTATCACAGCAACCCTAAGTTATCTCAGAACAGTAAATTGGCAGACAAGTGTTGTACCACTTAGGAGAATGCTCATTCTTAACACAGTTGACACCAGGCCTGAGGGTGGCCTGAGGGCCCAGTCGACTTATAAATACACAGTCCATCCACCAGGTCCTGGTTTACTCTACACAAGAGGCTTCTAGTCCACAGCTCACTGTTAGCTAAATTCAGCAAATCCAATCAGCTCACATGACTATGAAGGAGAACAAAACAACCCAGTAGTCCACACTTGACTCTCACCAAAACAAGAGAACCCACCTTCCAGAATCCAACCGCTTCACACTCCAAACTGGAGACTTAGTCAGGGCCCACCCACCTTTTAAATATGAGGGTTGCCCACCAGGTTCTGGTTGACTCAAGAGGCTTCCAGACCACAGCTGATTTGCATATTAAATAGATATGGATAAAAGATACAGTCTTAATGCACACCTAATGTTCAAGGATTTAGATCACATATATTATGTGTTAATGTTTTAAATAAGGATTTTTGGTGGTTTAGTGAGTTGTGCTGCAACTGAAAAGAATGTGGTTCAAATCCACCACCTGCTCTGTATCTGCAAGGAGGGCAGTCTCCTCCCATGCGATTTGCTGCCTCTAAACACCCTCTGGAGGGTCAGCTTTGAGCCCGTTCTGACTCAGTGGTACATAACAACAACAATGTTTTAAATATCCTTGTTTTTCTGACTCATAATTAGATTTTATGACAGAAAAGCCAGAAGTAAAACAGTACTCAAGACTAAAACCATTAGGTCAATTTGCAGAAAGTATTTTTTTTTAAGTCTCTTGTTATTGCAAGGAAACATGTGTATTGCTTTTTAAGTTCCTTGTCAGACTTTCACCTTGGACGTTACCAGAAGAAAACTGCTTCCACTCAGTAAAACTCTTTTCAGAGCCTTCTTTACAGTCTTCTGTTTTTTGCATGTTAACTCTCCCAGTAGTGAAGAAAGTTTTCTAAGTGGTGTGGTATTCTTATTTTTCTGAGGCCTATTATATATTCTTTACATTTTCTTCACTTTTGATGGTCTGCTCATTTCTCAGGATTGGCTTATGATCAGTTAGCTCCTAAACGTGTTTCCCAAGCATCTCAACCAAAACCGGTGCCTCCCTTGCCCAGTCTTCTTTTTCTTGATGTTGTTGCCTACTGACTCACCAACTGACTTAACCGTCCAGTGGGGTTTCAGAGAAAATCAATTGCGTTGGAGGAGATTGCCCATCTTCCTCTTGTCGAGTAGCTGGTGGATTTGAACCTCTTGCCTTTGTGTTGGCAGCACCAGTCCTTACTACTATGCCACCAGAGCTCCCTTAGAGAATGAATTTTGAATATCTACCTTTACCTTGGGTAATATAAATCCCATAGTGTTCCAGCTCACTCAGTCACTGCCATGGAGTCAGAACTGACTCATCACTGACACTCCAGCAAATTTCAGAGGTTTTAAATCCCAGGGGATGTTACCCGCCCATCTTTCTTCTTTGGAGTAGATAGTGATTTTGAACTACTTGCCTTTGTGTTGGCAGTGTACCACCTTATGCACTAAATCGCCAGACAGAGCTCATTGTATCCCCAGTGGGTTTTAAATTACTTGAAGGTAAATACTATTCTGAGTTCTTGATGCATCTAGCTAGCTTACTTCTGAATTCAGATGGGTTTATTAACTGAACAGCTAATAGTGTAGAAGAATGAAGAAACAGTTCTTTTCATTCAGCCTCTTAAGCCACTTTTTCAAGCAGATTATCAGTTTGGAGTTAAGCTGTGGTTTGCTTGGGTTGTCATTACCACAATGGTGTAATTGTGTCATTGACAGAGTCGCAGTGTGGTCTAATGTTATCATGGTTTAAGCTGGCCTCTATATCCTAGCTGCCCACTGACCTGCCATCTTTCTGATTTCTCTGCCCATTATCCTTATGTCTACTGTATCTCTTAGCATCTCTGCTTGCAGAACCATTGGTTACTTCTGTCTGATCAACACATAGACACACCATCTCTTTTTCCATTAATGTTATAGTGTTGAACATCCTTCAAGACCCTTGGGGGTTATTTCCTTCAGGAAATCTCTGAGAACCACATTGCCCATTTAGATTGCTATCTATCTTCTGCATCATTCTAGTTCCCTTTACTCCCCTATGTTTCAGAACTTCCACGCTTAATTCAGATTATCTACATACTTCTGTTTCCCCTGAATGAGACTGAGTTTTCTTAAGCAATAGCTTTTTTTGTTCTTGGGTTTATGCCCTTATCAGTTTACTCATTGCAAAGAAATGCTTACTGAGTGAGTGAAAAGACTACCAGAACAGGCATTTGAGGTCAAGTCAGCCTAAGTCTTAAGCCCGTTAAGATAAAAGGAAAGATAATACAGGCAGAAGCAGTAGCATGTGGACAGAAGCTTAGGCATGCGAAGACACCATTCATTGAATTGAAGGCAGTTCACACACCTAGTGTGTGTCTAGAACAAAAATGATGAAAAGAAGGCTGACAGGCAGCCAGGAACCATTGTGAGTATGGTGGAGGGCTATTGAAGCATCTTTTGTAGGAGTGTAATGAGTTCATGGGCATTTAAGAAAGATAAGTCTAGCACATAAGTGGAGAATATATTGGAGAAGAGTGAGACGAGTGGAGACGGGGAGATGATTTAAGGAGATATTGTAGTGGTTCAGGTAAGAAACTATGAGCACTATTATCAGGTAGTGGCTGTAGGGGTTTGAGATGGGAATGAATGGAAAATATTTTGGAAATAGAATCAACAGAATTCAGTGATTGATTTAAGATAGGAACAGAGGAATCATGGTTTATACTCAGGTTCCTGACTTCAGCATTTTTAAATACATAAAGAATAAAATAGGGGGAATAGATTTTAGAAGAAGACACTGAGTTCCATCGTACTGAGTTTGAGATACCTCTGTGTCTTCCGATTCCTAGCACAGCCCATAATAAAATTCAAAGAAGTCCAGAGAAGGAGAATGAGTTTATTGGCTTCAAGTTCTAGGGGCTAGTAGTAAAAATCCAAGTGTTGGCAGGTCCATGCTCTTTTCAAAGGCTCTGGGAGGTCCGTTCATGTTTCTCTTGGTTTTTTGTAGCCTTAGGCATCCGTTGGCATGTAGATGTATTGTCACTGTATTTTTTTTAAATAAGAAAACTACTTTTACTTGTAGTTAAAACTCACTCTACAGAAATATAAATTCTTCACTATAACTTCTTCAAATATCCTATTTCCAAACAACCATAAGTAGTTAGACTTTAACAAATCTTTGTGAGAGAAACAATTCAATCCATAAAACATTGGTACAAGTGTGTGGATCTGCCCACTAGGTAAGTGGGCCTGTAATCTAGAAATCAAGAGAGAGGTTTAATAAGTTAATAGGTTTTTGTTGAGTTGAAGTCAATGGAATGAGTAGGATCACTCAAGAAATACGTATTAAGTAGAATCTTGAGAATAAAGTCCACAGAAATAAAGCCCAAAGAAAGAAGTATAAAAAAGGAGAAGCTTGCAAAGAAGACTGAGATGTAATGGTTGGAGAGACAGGAGGAAATGCAGAGAAGTCGGGGGAAGCAGAGAGTTTCATGAAATGCTGTTGTTGAGTGCTGTGGTGTTAGATTTTCTGACTGTTGCCTCCAAGATGCAGATTGGACTTGGTAGCACAGTGTATGTATCTAGCATAGTGCCTAGCACTTTATAGACTGTCTCAGCTCATCTATTTGTATATGGGATGTTTAGCCCCTGTGCTTTAGATGCCTACTTCCCCCCCCCTTTTATTTAAATAGTAGATACCTACCTTTAATGAACCACCATAAATTCACTAAGTGCCTCTGGTAGGTGTTCTTTGGGTACAGGATGTAAAAGGTGTCTTCATTGTTAACATCCAGGGAGGTTTTAAACAAAATATGCCTAATGGTATTAATCTAATGTGTGAGGAATGAGGCCCATATATCCTGTGCAGTCTAAAATAACCCCTTATTTTTTATGCATCTAGGGATGAATTCTTTTGTTTTTGCAATGGGGCACCAGGGCCCTGTGTGTGGAATATCCGGGTTGTATGGGAACTGATTTTGGAAACCTTTGTCCAGTAAACTGAATGTATTCACAGTTAAGATTTGCTCTTCTTCTCAATGTTGTTAACTCAGTGCAGACCTTTTGAGATACACAGAAACGTTGTCCATGAATTGATTTCTAAGAGCTGATTTCTATTTTGGCATTAATACCCTTTTAAAAACTCCTTTCGACAGTACAAGAAGTTGCTTACTGAGGAGGGACAGCAAGTAGGAACCGTCGAGAGGTTTATTTCGGGTTCCATGGCTGGAGCAACTGCACAGACTTTTATTTACCCCATGGAGGTAAGAGCCCTGTGAAGTTTGACCAAATTTGGATGATGTTTGTATTAGTGATTTATTGCAATGAAATTAATTATCCCAAAAGTTGTTGTTGTTATGTGTTGTTATGAGTTGCCTACAACTCATAGCGATCCTATGTACAACAACGCTAAACCCTGCTCTAACATGTGCCAATCTTACTGTCTCTGACACACCTACCCCATTACCTTAATCACTGAATCAATCCATCTCATCGAGGGTCTTCCTCTCCTGTGCTGTCCTTCCACGCTCCCAAGCATGATATCCCTCTCCAAGGACTGAGCCTGCCTTGCAATATGTCCACAGTATGTCAGATGAAGCTTCTGAATCCTTACTTCCAAGGAGCAGCCTGTTCTCACCCTCTCCAGGACGAACTTGTTTGTTCTCCTAGCAGTCAGTCCATGGAATATTCAACACTCTTCTCCAGCACCACAGCTCAAAGGCATCAGCTCTCCTTCTGTCACCCCTAGTCATTGTTCATCTCTCAGATGCATAGCAAGTATTTACAAAGACAATGGCTTAGATCAGGTGCACCTAAGTCTCCAGACTGACAATGTTGCTCTGTAGTACTTTGGAGAGATCCTGTGACAGCAGACTTTCCCCAGTGCAATTTGTCTTTTCATTTCCTGGCTGCTGGTACCAACAGTGTTGATTATAGAGCTAAGCAAACTGATGCTGTTAACAATCTCAATGTCTTAACCATCTATCATGATGCTGCCAATTGGCCCAGTGGTGAGAATCTTTGATTTCTTGATGTTGAGCTTCAATCCGTATTGAAGGCTACAGTCCTTGACCCTCTGCAGCAAGCACTTAAAGTCCTCCTCAGTTTCAGCAAGCAGGGTTGTGCCATCTGCGTAATGCAGGTTGTTGATGAGTCTACCTCCAGTCCTGATGCCACATTTCTCCTCATAGAGCCCAGCCTCCCGGATAATCTGTTCTGCACAAAGATTGAAGAGATATGGAGGAAAAAACCACATCCTTGGCATTCATGCTTCCCAATTTTTAACCACGCTGTGTTTCCTTGCTTTGTTCTGAGGACTTCCCAAAATTAGTAACTTAAAACATCAAGCATTTATTACCTCTTCTTGTCTCTGAAACCTGACTCCCTTGGGTACCTTTGGCTCAGAGGCTCCTAACCTACAGTCAGGGTGTCATCCCCAACTTCAGGCTCCCCAGTGCTCTTCTCCAGGCAGATCTTCTTCCAGGCTTCTCACAGAACTGTTTGCCTTAGGTCCTTACTGGCCTTTAGGTTTTTACCACATGCCCATCTCCATAGGCTTCCCGAATACCCTTAAACACAGCACTTCCCCCAAAGGCAGGAGATAGCAAGCACCCAAAGTGGAAGCTGCAGCCTTTTGTCACTGCTGCCATGTTTTATGTGTCACCCAGACCAGCCCTGGTGGAGTGTGAGGGAACTATACAGGGGTGGAAAACCTCTAGGCAGGATCATTGGATGCCATCTCGGAAGCTGGGTGTCAGAAGGTTGATGAGAATTCGAACTCTCATAAAAGTTGCTATAGCATAAATGTAGGTGATGTAATTCTAATTAGACTTCCCTGCATCAGAACACAGGTTAACAAACTCTTCAGCCTGTTTTTTATAGCCCTAGAGCCAAACATGGATTTTACCTTTTAAACTTTTTCAAAAGATTATTTAAAAAAAAAAAAAGAGCACAGTGGTTTGATATATTAGGCCTACAAAGTGTAAAATATTTCCTATCAGGCCTTTTACAGAAAACATTCACTGGATCTTTCAGAGCAAAATTAATAGCTGTAGATGTGACTATCTTTACTGATATAACAGAAGGGTTTCTAATAAGTGATTAGAATAAAAGCAAGATATACCCTTTGGTATGCAAATTAGTGTAGGTTTCTTTGTAGCTATTTCAAATTGAATATTATTTCATTGCTTTCATATTGCCCCACACATCCCTCAAAAAGATCCTAATCGAATGCCTGTTTTTTCTTTTGTATCTTCCATCTGAGTTAATAGCATCAGCTGCCCACCTCCCCACCCTCATTTATATTCCTCTTACTGGTAACACTGAAGCCTTCATGATACTGTTCTCTTCACCCACTATGTATTATTGGTCACCAGTTCAATTTTGCTAAGACATCAATAAATTATCTCCTTTCCATTTTCTCTGCCTCTATCCTCATTCGAATTCTGTCTTTAGCAGTAGAAGTGTCTTCCAGCTCTGGTCTCTGTCCCTCAGTGGATATAATATGTAGAGATCAAAAGACTAGACAGTAATTTGAGTGGCAGTATGTATAGGGTGTTCTATCCATACCTACTCATTTTGTACAAAGTGTTGCTGAAACTGAAGAATACCTGAAGTGCTTGCTGCAGAAGGTCAAGGACTGCAGCCTTAAATATGGATTGAAGATCAACATCAAGAAAACAAAGATTCTCACCACTGGGCCAATTGGAAAGCATCATGATAGATGGTGAAGAGATTGAGATTGTCAACAGCTTCCATTTGCTTGGCTCCACAATCAACACTCTTGGTACTGGCAGCCAGGAAATTAGAAGATGAATTGCACTGGGGAAAGTCTGCTGTAAGGGACCTCTCCAGAGTACTGAAGAGCAATGACATCAGTCTGGAGACTAAGGTGTGCCTAATCCAGGTCATGATCTTTGCAGTTACTTAACTGTGCATCAGAAAGATGGGCAGTGAGTAGGGATGGTAGGAGGAGACTTTGAACTGTGGTGCTGGAGAAGAGTGTTGAATAGACTATGGACTGCTGGGAGAACAAACAGGTTTGTCCTAGAGAGGGTGAAGCCAGGTTGCTCATTGGAGACAAAGATTCTGAAGCTTTGTCTGATATACTTTGGGCACTTTTCAAGGAGGGACCAGTCCTTGGAAAGGGACATCATGTTTGGGGATGTGGAGGGACAGCAGAAGAGAGGAAGACCCTCGATGAGAAGAATTGACTGGGGTAATGGGGAAAGGTGTTTCAGAGACAATAAGGTTGGCTCAGTCTAGAGCAAAGTTCAAAGCTGTTGAACATAGGGTTGCTATAAGTCACTGGACTTGATAGCCCATAACAACAGCAGCAGCAGCAGCAGCAGCAGCTACAATATTTATTAGGTATTCTCTGTGAAATGATTTCTTTTTACTTCCATGGTGATAGAGTTAGCATGAACAATTGTATTTTGTTTTATTCATTCACATCCAGGTTATCAAAACCAGGCTGGCTGTAAGCAAAACTGGACAGTACTCTGGAATATTTGATTGTGCCAAGAAGATTTTGAAACATGAAAGCTTGGGAGCTTTTTACAAAGGTTATGTTCCCAACTTATTAGGCATCATACCCTATGCAGGCATCGATCTTGCTGTATATGAGGTGAGTTTTATAACACTCTTGAATCTGAAAATATGGTTTGGTGGTTCTGATTAGAATTTGACTTTACATAAAGTTAATTTTATATAAAACCAAACCCACTACCACTGATTAAATTTTGACTCGTGGTGACCCTCTTGTCAGGTTTTGGAGTCTGTAAATCTTTACAGGAGGCACGGACCATCTTTCTCCTTGGCTTGGCTGGTGGGTGTAAACTTCTGGCATGTTGGTTAACATCCCTACACATAATGTACTACATCACCAGGGCACCTATCAAATTTATATACACACCACAAAATGGTTTATAACCAAAAGTAGCTTCAGTGCGGTGTTAGTTGATCCTTTTTTCCAATAATCTTGAATCTGAGACCCCATCTATGTGGGTTGAGTTTTGTATTGGATTTTCTTGAGAGTTGTTTTTATTATTGAAGAGACTGGACTAAAACTCAGACATACCTGCTTAGAAGAGACTGATGTGCACCTGATCCAGGTCATGGTCATAATCACTTCATAATCACTTGCTATGTATCAGAAAGCTCAACAATGATTAAATATGACAAAATTGATGCCTTTGAGTTGTGGTGCTGCAGACGACTATTGAACAGCCTATGGACAACCAGAACAAATAGATCTGGGTGTTTTTTTAAATTTTTATTTTATTATTTGTGTGTACCATCAAATCAGATCTGACTGGTACAAGAGGGGATTGTCCCTCCTTCCCCAGTAGAGCATCTGGTGGATTCGAACCATGCGCCTCTGGGATTGCAGTGCAGCTTCTTGCCACTAGGCCACCAGCGCTCCCAGATCTGTTTTGGAGAGGGTGATTTCAGGTTCCTCCTTGGAGGCAAGGATTTTGAAGCTCTGTCTCACATTGGGTACGTGAGCCAGTATTAGAGAAGGACATTATTTTTGGAAGGATTGGAGGGACAACTCGGGAGAGGAAGACCCTGGATGAGATGGAATGACATGGTAACTGGCAGTGGGATTGATTAGGTGTGTTGGAGTCAGTGAGACTGGCTCAGGATATGGCAGAATTCAGAGCAATTGTCCATAGGGTAGCTATGAGTCAAGGACAACTCAATGGCCCATAGTAACAGCAACATGATTGATACACACATTTGTCAAGCACATTGTTAGGGACAAGTCCTGAAATATACTTGGAATAGATTTAGGGATTGAAAAAAAAGATGTTGTGCCTGTCTTTCAGAAACTGAAGGTCTGGTGGGGAGTTTGCTGTGATAGAGGTGACCCTGCCTCCAAGGAGGGACCCAGCCTACCGCTGAGGGGAGGGTACAGTGTGTAATGATTGCTTTCTCAGAGGCCTTACTGGAGCTGAGTTTTAAAGGAAGAATAAGTATATTTGCGAGAGTGTGTTTGTACGAACAAAACAGCATGGAAAAACAGCATAGGACTTTAGGAGAGAGTATTGGCAGGAAGATAGCTGGACGTTTTTTAGAAATTTGTGAGTAGCTGTGTTAGGTAACAGGACTTGACAGCACTGGAGAAGTAGGATAGATTGAGATTCCAACTTCCATTTTGCTCAAATGAGGAGATGGACTTGTTTCCTAAAACTGACATATAGCTATTGAAGGACAAACTAGGAGAGAGACTTAATTAGATTTTTTTTTTTCTAAACCTCTTTCCGCCAGCTTTAGTAGTGATTGTAGGGAATCCTGGAGAGGACTAGATTTGGTTAACTGACAGGTGGAGATGAAAGTGAATTTGATGCTTCCCGTGTTACACTTGAAGTACATGTCAACAGCTCAGTGCAGAGGCCTGGGAGTTAGGTGCTTATGTAAGTCAGTAGCTTGGCAGAAATACTTGGGTCTGGGGAGAAATATTTGATAACAGTGCAAGTGGCAGTGAAAACACTGGTTTTGGTGAAATCACCAATTTGCATTGAAGAATGGAGCATGGGATGTGAGGCCAGTCAAGCCGTGATGACAGAAGGAGAACCAGAAGAGGAGGTGCAGCCTGGAAGCCGACAAAGGGGAAGATGCCAGGGGAGACAGTGGGGGCTGTGAAAGTTCAGGTGAGATATGGACTGAATGGGTCTAACAGGCATAGAGTAGCTTCAGGGAAGTGGCTTTGGAAATCAGTACAATGAGAAATAAATGTCAAGTGAAGGGAAGGTAGGTAGTGCGTAAGAAACATGATGAAGGGAGTGTGGAAAATAGACTTGAAGATATGAGAAGTCTTGGTGTCTTGGGTGAAACTTCATGGGATGAGCAAGCTTTAAGAATACTTATGAATTGAGGGTACAGAGTCAGTGAAGAGACAATGAATTCATGAGTGAATGGACACATTATTCTTTTTACAGAAAACGGAGATTTGAGAGTCAAGAAATGATAATGCGATGGGACATTAGAGGGAGACTGAAATAAGTTATGAGATGTAGAGGGAGAACTTAGATCATTTATATTTTGTAGAATTTTAAATTGATTGCTGAGTATTTTATAGAGTGCATCCTCCCGTCATTCTCCCTGCCCCCACCCCCAGCCTTTTCCTTGCTCTTGTCTTACTAGTGCAAAAAGTTTTTATCAATTTCTAGTGATTTGTTTATTTTCCTCATTGTTGTAGCTCAAAAACATGTAGACTCCACAGCCTTATTTATAGGGTTATTCTTGTGGTGGAGTTGTCAGATTCAAGTACTCAATTAAAACATTTCATTAAAATATTCAAACTACTTGTGTAGTTTTTTAATTTATTATCTTGAATTTGTAAACTTGGAGAGCTCTGTTGGCATAGTTTGTAGGGAGTTGTGCTGATAACCCAAAGACAGCAAGCATCCCCTTGAGAGAGAGATGAGAAATCTCTTCCCATGTGATTTACAGCCTCCAAAATTTGCTGCATGGTCAGCTGTGAGCCAGTCTGACTCGAAGGCAATGAGTGAGTTTTGAGAGTATTGTTGTTTTGTTGTTGTTATGTGCCATCAAGTTGCTTGCGACTCATAGCGACCCTATGTACAACAGCCCTAAACTCTGCTCTGTCCTGTGCCAATCGCACCGTCTCTGACATTCCCATCCTGATTACCCCAGTCACTGAATCAATCCACCTCTTAGAGGGTCTTCCCCTCCTGCACTGTCCCTCCACCCTACCAAGCATGATGTCCTTCTCCAAGGACCAGTCCTTCCTTACAACATGTCCAAATATGTTAGACAGAGTCTCAGAATCCTTGCCTCCAGGGAGCCGCCCGGTTTAACCCTTTCCAGGATGAATCTGTTTGTTTTCCTAGTAGTCCATAGTACCCTCAATACTCTTCTCCAGCACCACAGCTTAAGATATTTTACATCTAAAAACTACACTTTTTTAAAAAGTGTTTTATAATGACATTTCTCCCAGGAATTGCTTTCTAATGAAAATACAGGTACCCCATGATAATAGTAGGAAAGAACAACCTGGGCCTGACTCTGAGCCTTTTTAAAAAAATCTCTATGCTCTGAGACAGTGTTTTCCTCTCATTTACAAAATCCAAATGATAGATTCATGCCAGAGTATTTGTAAGGGTAAAATGAAAAATGTCTGAGTAAAGTATAAAGTGAGATCTAATTAGTCATTCCTTGTTACTCAGGAATCCCTTCTCTGCAAATTTTCCTGCCTGCCAAAACTTGTACCTTTAAATCAATACTTTCTTTTGCTTTTGTGGTCATTTGCAATCTGTTTATATAGAGAATGGGAAAACCAAGTGCTATGAGGTGCATGATCCCAGCAGAGCTTGAACAAGGCCAATGATTGGCAACTGCTCTCAGTGTTGGTGATGACTTTATAGAAAATGATGATTGTGGAATATGAACTTTGACTACAGCAGTAGTACATCATTTACTTAACACTTAGAGCAAAAGATGTTCTTTGTATCCTAGTTTCTGGTCTGGTACTGATCTTCATGTGTACTTAAGCTGACAGAGGAAAACCTCATGTACCCCATATCTTCAGTGATGTTTCCACCTCTCTGCTAAGCTCTCCTTTCTGTTGTGTCTGCTGTCCTGGGAAGTCACCGCCCGATCTTACAGAAGTATGGCTTGTCTCTCATATGAACGAGAATAGTGCGAATTTTCACATTGAGTGAAGGCAGCTGCGAAATTAACTTTCCATTGTTCTTTTCCCTGGCAGCTCTTGAAGAAGCACTGGTTAGACAATTTCGCGAAGGACACTGTTAATCCTGGTGTCGTTGTGTTGCTGGGATGCGGCGCCTTGTCTAGCACCTGTGGTCAGCTGGCCAGCTACCCCTTGGCTTTGGTGAGAACGCGCATGCAGGCTCAAGGTGAGTGCCTGACTACAGAGTGACACAAAAGGCAGCCCAGCAGGACTGGGTGTGTGTATTTTCTCAGTTTTAGTAACAAGCGTAACTGAACAGAGCAGACTGTAGTTTGAAGACAGTGTTTTTCAACATTTTTTTTTAAAAATTGCATTATTACCCTCTTATGGACTCTTCTAAATACTCTTTTTCAAATCAGCCTTCCATGAAATTTATCCCTACTGTGCTTTATACATGAAAAGAGAAAGACCTTTTTTTTTTCCTTTTTTTAAAATTTTTCATTGGGTGAAGGTTTATAAATCTTATTGATTAATCTTACATTCATAAACATTTTATTTTATGACATTAATTACATCTGATTATTACCCTATTTAATCAGGAGGGCCTTTTCCTGTGTCTTTTTCCCATCACCCACATAAACTATAATTTAACAATTTTTACCCTCCTGTCTCTCCTTTCTATCTCTGTTGAGGCTCCAAGATTACATCCATTTGCAAACCGTTCCTTAGCATTTAATAATAGCTGTCAGGTTTTAAAATTTAAGACTTTCTTTGCCTACCTTTTGACAGTACAAGCTTTGGGATCTGGATGGTGTTGGATTCAGTTCCTGGCACTGGACCTCTTTGGGTTTTTGTTCTCTCATCCATAAGTGGAAACAAAAGCTGCAGTAAGGAATTCATGGCAATAGTAAGAATTAGCAGCAATGATATATGTAAAACAGTTGACATGTTATTCAGCTCTTGGTAAAAGGTGGCTGGAATTATTATTATCACTGCCATTGTGGAGGGGAGTAGCTGTACCTCAGTGAGTACACAGATGTTGCATTGCCTGCCCATTGCTATGAGAACATAGAGTGAGTAGGCTGACCTAACCTGGGGGCTAGGGCCGTCTTCCAATAGAGCCTGGAGGACACGTGTGGGTTGGTGTGGGGCAGCGGGAGCAAAGAGCATTACTCCTACCTGAGGGTAAGTATATGTGAAGACACTGAGGCAGGAGAAATGTGGCATATTTGAGGGGATGAAAGATTGTAATGGCTGTGTCATGGAGAGAAAAATGAAAATTTATAAACTATGCTCTCACTTAACCTTCGTAACTGTCCTTTAGGAGTGATACTATTCTAAACTATCATCCCTGCTCATACTTACATATCTTAATAATCAAGACTGAAATGGAACATGCTTGGAAATTAAATTAGGTTGGTGTCTTTTTAAATTTTTATCTTCTAGCCATGTTAGAAGGAACCCCTCAGCTGAATATGGTCGGCCTTTTTCGACGAATACTTGCCAAAGAAGGAGTGAGAGGTCTTTACAGGGGGATCACCCCGAACTTCATGAAGGTGCTCCCTGCTGTTGGCATCAGTTACGTGGTGTACGAAAATATGAAGCAAACCTTGGGAATAGCGCAGAAGTGACATGTTGAAGATTTTGCTTTAGTGTGATTACTGAAATCTCAACAATTTCGGGAGTTACTTTTTCTCCTAGAACTGCAACAAGACCATGGCAAAAAAAAGCAAGCTGTATTTTCTCATAACAAGGGAGAGTATATCGTTGATTACTTCAGCTATTTTGGCTTAATTTTATATGCACAGAATTGCTTAAAATCATAGTTTTCATAGTTTCACGCAATTTTTAAAAGCCAGAATGTACTTATCTTTCTTATTAGTCCTTTCTGCAAATATCTGCCCTGAATCCTACATCTGAAAAAATGTACTTGAATGAAACGTTTTTGGGTGTGGTAGAATTCTAAATCATTCATCTTTATTTTGGTTGGTCTAAGTTTATGCAAGTTTTTTATACTTCAGTATCTTTTCCTTAGAAAAACAAAACAATCAGAAAACCTAGAGACTTAAATTATTTTTTATGGACTTCTGAAAGGTTCCTTATAGAATTGTAAATGGGAAATTAGTTGCATTAAAGTGCCCTTTACAGCAACCAAAAGAGGTGTAGTCTTTATGTCATTATCTTTTCTTTAGCAGAAAAGTAGTAACATAAAGGCCAGGCTTTCAAAGCATGTGGATATCTTGTCTGTTCATACAATTTTTGCATAAGAAGAGGTATAAAATGATATTTATTTCACTGGGCACTTTTCCATTTTTTCTTGCACCATCATTTGGTTCCTGGCACTGCACAATAATTGACTGTCAAGTGTATTAATGCCAAATTATCAACACAGAACACCTCTTTGAAAAATTCTGTGACTTCTGTGATTGATTGGAAAGCTGCAGGAACCAACTTTGAGGAGAGTCTTAATGACATGAAATAGTTTGATCCTGGGGGACTGGCAGTCTTACTCTCCTTGCCTGTTTGAGTTCTTTAATCCTACCAGTCTCAATTTGGGCAGCATAAACCCAAGAAAAGAGTGACGATTAATAGTCATTTATATTAACTGTATACATTAGATGCCTGTAGTTAATTTAAAAGCCGAATTTATAAAGACATATGTTCCTTTTTTTGCCTCAAGTTTTAGTAACATTTTAAGATCTAGAAAACTTAATTTATAATATTATCAATAGTCTTTTTCATATGACAAAAGCAATGTTTTATAGTCAACTATCTTTTCTGAGATTTGTGTGATTAGGATTTAGAAAAATAATAGTTGAAAGTGTTCTTGTAAAAAAAAAATGAAAGTGTTCTTGTTGGTTTTATTTTAACTTAGTTCCTAAATTAAGACAAGTTTAGTTTCTAATTATTTCTGTTAGCTATTATCAACATTTCATTAAGAATTTTGTGAAACAACAGACATTAACTTCATTATAAGTCTACCTCTTATGTTTACTGAACCAAAGAGAAGCTGAAATACAATTTTCATCTGTATTAACTATTCCTGATGAATGACTCAATATTTTTATTACACATAATAGTAAACGTGGGACTTTGAATTTCAGGGATGCTTTGTACTTTGTGTAACACATATATGCCAGTATTAGCTATTTCTTTTTTTTTTACTTGTGGAAATGATGGAAATAAGTAATTTTGCTGATGTTTTTGAAATTGCAAAGTGCTGAAAAATAAGAATCTGTTCATTGTCCATTATGAATTTAAATTGTTCACTATTTAAAGTTTGTAAGGTATGAATGTGATTTATCTGTGCATCTTGTAATTTTGGGAAAAATAATCTTGTGCCTTTTGATAAAAGCTTAGAGCTAAACTTACTCTTTCTGGTGTTACTGTATATTTACATTCCATTTCTATTAAAACAGCAACAAAAACAATATTTGTTTTCAGACAGCTTGTTTCTTTTTAAAAAATGTTGTAAAAGAGACCTGTTCCATACAGCTTACATTAATGGCAGCCGTTTAGTAGAATACGTCCCCACCTGGTCTACATAGCCTACCCACATGTTGTAGACTTTTTCTGAGCTTGGATGTTAGTGTCTGCATCATTCACTGTGGGGAATCTAAAAGGAGAATCCAAAGTCACTAGATTAAGTTGGCACATCTTTCTTGGAGGACTCTGTTTATCTTGAAGATGGGGGAAACAAAAGCTAAGTGAGTTTACCATTGTATCATTTTTAAATAATGTATCATAAAGTCAAATTAATCAGTAAGTTAAAAAGTAGATTTTATTTAAATAATATAAATATGTAAGTAAAACTAAAAAACTCCAGTACTAACACATTGGCCTTCCTCCACTCTCAGGGATGTTTGTTAGAACAGTGCTGCCGGATTGGTTTCCTTTCTTTTGATCTTGTCTTCTTTGTGCAAGTTTACACTGTTTTGTTCTTTGGGTTTCACACCTAGCCATGTGTGTGAAAATACAGCATGGTGTCCTCATTATTAAATAAGAACGTTGCCAGTCCTTTTATTCTGATAGTTCCAAGTGGTGCAAATGATGTACATAGGGTCGCTATGAGTTGCAAGCTACTTGACGGCACATAACAACAACAACAATGCAACGGAGCTCTGGTGGCCTAGTGGCAAGAAGCTATACTGCAAATCCCAAAGGCATGCGGTTTGAGGCCACCAGCTGCTCTGTGGGAGAAGGATGGACAGTTGCTTCCTGTGCGATTAACTGCCTCTGAAAACCTACCAGAGGGTTAGCTGTGTGTTGGTCAATAACAACAATGCAAAAGCTGGCTGTATGAACCCACCAGTAACCCTACGGAAGAAAGACTGCTTCCGTAAAGAGTAGAGCCAAGAAAACAATATGAAAGATAGTTTTGCTCTTTGAAACGGGGGTTGTCATGAATCTAATCCACTCAATGACCTGGTTGGTTTTGTTGTCTTATGAATATCTTAGTTTGGGAAGAGAGGGGAAGAAGTAATGATGTTGGTGGAAAGGAGCAACCAGCAGTCCCTCCTGTCTACCTTTGCCTGCTTCCCTGTAGGGAGCGGTGTAGAGGGGTGAGCACACACGCCACCCTCTTCCACCCAGGCTGGAGCTGTGCTGAAGACGAAGATACCCCTCGTTAGCCACAGTGTAGCTGAAGACCTTTTTCACAGCCTCTGGTGGATAGGAAATTTATCAGATAAGTTTTCTCTCTGGTTCTTGTTGGGCCCTGTGCTTAGGTACTTGGTCATAGCCACTATAGCTTTCTTTGCAGTGAAGGGGAACATTTAGGCATTTAAATCAACAGCATATACTAGTTTTCCAGTTCTCTCTGAATAGTAAGCGCCAGTTGTGTGCCAGACACTTTTAAAGGCTGGTAGCAGCACTGAAGGAAAGACCCACTGCCTTTCTAATGCCTTCAGTGCACATCCTAAGCAGAAGGTGCATTATGTCTGATGATGGTAGGTAGAGAAGGCATTGCTAGGTAGGGGTGGGATGTGTCATTTGAAATAAAATGAGAGCAGAAGGAACCTGAGTGGCACAGTGGTTAAAGCACCTAGCCAGTAACCTAACATATGGCACTTCTACCTCACCAGTCACTCCATGGGCAGCAGATGAGGCAGTCAGCTCCCCTATAGATTCACAGCCTTGGAACTCATACAGGACAGTTCTACACTGACCTACAAGTTCACTGTGAGTTAGCCTCAACTTGATGCCAGTGGGTAAGTCAGAGTAGGCCTTGTTGAGAACATGCTGTTTGAGTAAAGACCTGGGGATGGTGAAGAAACCAACCCTGCTGTGTCAGAGAAGGAACTTTCAATCAGGAAGAATACAGATGCAAAGGCCACACAAGTGGAAGGACATCAAGGAAACCACTGTGCTGAAGCCCTGATAGCAGTGGGGAGGCAGAATCCCAAGAGCTGGCAGACACTTCAGCCACGCAATAGCAGCTGTATCCTGCAATGTTCCCCAACAACGATTCAAATATCTCTTCTCTCTGGGTAGTTGTTTCATGATTGGAAACTACTGGGAAACACCCACAGTTTGTGGGGACAATCATTTCCACCACAGGCAGAATCCTTTTCTCTGTCTGTGGTCTCCGCATTGGCCTCCCACGTAGTGTGTCTTTTGACTACATGGTGTCTCACCTTTTATAAAACAACCAACCCACCCTCACTTGTCGCCCTTGAGTTGGAACTGATTCATTGCTGGCCCACCAGTGCATTCAGAGATTTTAAGTCACCAGGGAGAAGATCACCTATATTTCTGTCTTGGAGCTGCTGATTAATTTTGAACCACCAGAGAGGTGCCTTCTTGGATTCGCAGCACAATTCACCATGGATTATGCCATTAGGGAACGTGGACATTTTGTTTTATAACATTAATTGCAATTGATTAATGCAATTAATTATAATGTCTAATCAATTTCTTGAGTGTACCATGGACTACTAAGAAAATAAACAGATTCATCCTGGAGAGGGTTAAACCAGACTGCTCCTTGGAGGCAAGGATTCTGAGGCTCCGTCTGACATACTTTAGACATGTTGTAAGGAAGGACCGGTCCTTGGAGAGGGACATCATGCTTGGGAGGGTGGAGGGACAGCGCAGGAGGAGAAGACCCTCTATGAGGTGGATTGATTCAGTGACTGGGGTAATCGGGATGGATGTGTCAGAGGCAGTGCAATTGGCAGAAGATAGAGCAGGGTTTAGGGCTGTTGTACATACGGTCGCTATGAGTCGCAAGCGACTCAGCGGCACATAGCAACAACAACAACAACAATCAATGTCTTACTATATATTTCCTTCCCCAACTTATATAGTAGTTCATTCTCACTCCATCTCCCTTCCCTTCTCAAATTTAAATTTTTTAAAAAGATGTGTAGTTTTCTGTAAATCTAAAACTGCTTGAAAAGATAAATAAGAATACATTTTTTTCCTTTCTTGATATTTTCCCAAGTAATAGAAAAAATTAACCTTAGTTGTCTTGAAAGAAATTTATTCCTACTTTCTTCTCTGATTGTCCAACAATTTTAAAGGGTTGAAAACTAATTTTTCAAGTGCAATCTTTTTAGCCTCATTGTCTTTATTTCCCAGTGCTGCAGTAACACATATTCCATGTGGGTGGTTTTAAAGGACAGAAATTTGTTTTCTCACCATTCTGGAGGCAGAAAGCCAAAATCAGAGTCTCAGTTGGGTGATTACTTTTGTTCACACCAGATGCCCCTTAGTTCTTTGGACACCTTTCACATAAAGTCCCAGTGTGTGTCTGTCTCTGTCAAATCTTTTTATAACAGAGGTGTGATCTTAATAGGTGTGACTTAATGAAGAAAACT